GAAAGTGAAATGTCTGGTGGCAGAAGGTTAAGATGATCGAAGTAAAGAGAACAAAAACAGTACATGGTTGCTGTGGAAATAAAGGAACAGTGAAGTCTGAGACGAATGATTGACATTTGCAGAAAAAAAAACAGTCAAGTTTAAGACAATTGATTAATATTTTGCAAATGAAGTATTAAATGTATGATTCTCAGATTTTACTAAGATGTTCTGTAATTCTGTGTTTTTGTTCACTATGCTACTAATATATTGCTCATTATCTCATAAGTGAGATGTCTATGAAAGAACTGTCTGTTTAATTAGAAGTTAAATCTTTCCACGCTTTGCATACAAGAGTTAATCACTTGGTTTTCTTTGTTATTTATCATTGTTATCTTTATTATTTAAGCATTTTGTATGGAAATAAACTCTTTACACTAGAGCTTGCAGAAATTTTAAGCTTGTAAGCACATAATGATGCTTATCATAAACACAAAACTGAGCATGTACTCCATCATTACGTCTTCAGTACAAAAATTATGCATAATGGTATTGATGGAGGGACTTTAAAAAAACCAGTATGCTCACTTACAATAAAACGTTATTTGAAGCAATTATTAGCGCGTTCATACCAATTAAATATTTATTAGTATCAAGTACACTAAACAGGATCCTTAATACTGACTGAGTTCTTTAGGTGAAGCTTTAGTATGCTCATTAGGTTAAGTGACTCAACATCATGTTTCACTATCTCTATAAACGTGGGAGTAATTACAAAGGAAGCCAAGGGTGGGCGAACCACAACACGGTTCCAGTCCATGATGTCATCGATTGTTGATCCGAGCGATGCTGATGGATCCGAACTATCTTACGTCGATCAAATGTTGCAGATCTAAGGGCAACATGACAAAAAATAGGTCACCCTGCATCTGCGACACACTAGTAAGGAGATGATGGATCAGACTATAATTTATGGACGACCGTTGAAATATGCTAAAGTGACTTTGAGGATAGCCACCTGCTTGATAGGGTTAAAATTGATGTGGGGAAATAGTATTATGATTTAGAGTTAGAAGTTATGGTTAGGAATAGAAGTTAGGGTTTTCATCACGAAATGACATTAAGTATAATGTCAAAACACTGTTTAAGGGCATCGATAAATGGATTTCGCGCCGAAATTCAAGATGTGCTATATTTAGTTTGATTGGTTTGTTCATAAATTATAGTCTTGCCGAATAATGCATTAAAATTTCATTAGATCCAATAAAACTGGTTTCATCTTTTCTAAGTATTGAATTGCAACTTGACATCCGACTCGGTTCAGCTAAGTATAAACTGAAAAATCTACTGGCAAATCAATTCAGTTGATGATAACAGAGAGTGTATTACTTACATCGGGCTCCACAAATAAATGTGACGTGAACTGTATACCTCATTGTTTTTTGGTTGATGACTAGTTTGATGTCTATCCAAAAGCTCTATAGATATAAACATTTTTAATTTGGATAAACTTTGATTACATTCCCGAATCTACCTCATACCACCTGTCAGTGATCAATATGATATATGTTCATTTCCTTATAAAATATGAGTAGAATGCTCCTTATCAATTTTCAACTCCAGCTTAGATTATTTGAAAAATTAATTTTCGTGTATGTTGTAAATTATCATCACTATACTTTAGAAGTCCTACGAAAACCCTTTCTTTCTCCCAGATATGAATAACGGAATGATCGAGAAATCTTAAAATATTATAAAGCAGTTGTTTAAGAAGCTGATCAAGCCCAGAAACTATGAAGCTAACGTTCACATCTTAATTGTTGATTTTTCTCATCTACGTAAATATGTAAACAAAATTTATTCACTAAAAACAATATCCTAACAACTATACACAAATTAGTAGTACAATATTAACGATTTCAATGCAGGAAAATAATTAACTTCATGATATTTCAATTATAAATAATTATTAACAGTAATCCGTTAATGAGACATTTACTCCATATCATGGATACTATACATAATATTAATCAATTTTAAAAACTTTTTAAATTAATAATTCATTATATATATATATATATATATATATATATATATATATATATGTAGAGAGAGAAAACAAACTGGGAACTATCTCAATTAACTTCTTAATATCTATCTTTATGATCTATTTATAGAGAAGAGGAATAATGAATAGATGTTTTTGTTAACTATACAACATTATAGTGAATAGATTCAAATATAAAGTTAATCCCTTTTTTTAATGGAAGAAATTATTTTGCAATTTTTTATTATTTTTTTAACTAAGTATTATGCAATTTAGTTATGGATATAACGACTATTTTCTATGAGGAACAAATCATTCTGTTTATTTCCATAGAGAATAATAATAAAGAAATACATCAATACAAATACATCAAATGACAAAATAAATAAAAACGTATTAAAATTTATTTTAATTTTTAGAATATCTGGTATTCAAGAAAAAGGAAAAAATAACGGCTGAATCTTCTATTCTTTGTGTAAATCATAATTGGATAATCTATTTATAGATCTCAACTAAATAGAAGTGATATAACCGCCTAATTTATGTAGGATTACATAAATTTTATTCGACGCATATATTAATCATAACTTGTTGCTTTTTCAGTAGTATAGTAGTATAGTATAACAGATATAAAATTACCAAAACACAAGGAGTATTTGGTAGAATGATAAATATTCTAGACCGAAGGGATAAAATAAAATGATTATTGTTTAGATAATGTTTGAGTCATCAGAACGACAGAACTTTTACTACGCTTGGTGGAGCATAACCTACTGACCAGACTTCTCCAACTATCTGTATCTTGGGCTCTTCTTTCGAGTTTTTGCCAACTGTCATTCATTCTTTTGATGTTTAACTCCGATTTCTAGCATAATCTGTTCTTTAGTCCACCTCTTTTCTGTTTGTTTTGAGGATTTTCTGTTTGAACGTGTTTTGTAATACAATTTGATGATCTCCACAATGTATGTCCTGGACCTTTTCTTGATTTCCTTTTCATCTACAAGATGATTTATTCTCTCCCACAATAGTTATTGCCTATGATGCCTGTCCAACGGGTCTGGAGTATATTGCATAGACAACTATTTATAGATAATCGTATCTTTTCGATGTATGTAAATTAGCTAACAAACAGATCGATCAAGAGGAGTCTAAAGTCAGTGAAATCTGTCACTGAATTATGCGACACGATGAGTGATAGCGTATTCGTTATGACTTTTCATGCTTTTGGTAATATAAACTTGCTACTATTGTGGTGCGTGCTACTTATGTTGATATAAGTAGTATATGATGCGAGTCAGGAATGCAACGTCTGGCAGCTGAAGATGGGAAAGATCAAGAAAGGAAGAACGGGAACAGAAAGCAATTAGTATGAAAGCGCAAGAGCAATGAAGTCCGAGACAATTACTGAACATTTTGCAAATTAAGTATAATAGTATGGTTTTTCTATTTTACCAAGTAACTCTGTAATTTCGTACTAGATATAATTCGGTTGTCCTCACCTGTGTTCTCCTTCACTACACTGTCTGACAATGTTAAGTTATTTCGCTAAAATATTCCTTATGAGTTTTCATCGTTCTTTCAAGTTTGGTAGATTAGTTATTTCACTAAACGATATTATTTTACTTTTCATTGTTTAAAGACATTTATAGAAGATTGTTAAACTTAGCCCCTACAGTAACTTTTATACTTACATTCACTGAATCATTTTACGTATAACATAGAAAAATATACGAGAAACCTCAAACTGTTCAACTTCACACCCCTCTACTATATTTAACTATTGAAATCGAGTAGTAATAACAAACACAAAAATACAAAAGTTGAGAATTTAATAATTTTTAAACAATGATTTATTTTATTGAATCAGTTTTTCATCTCGTTTGTTTATGTTACTCATATAATGTTAAAATCTAGACAATCCTTATCTGATTTGAATCGGTTAATGGAGGAACACAAAATGTTCCGAAATAACATAAATATGGATTATTTGTATAGTAAATATCTACGTTATATTATTGAATTACATTATAAATATGTAAAAATGATAGTGAATATATACTCTTGACTAATGAGAGCAGTTAGAAATTACATACATATCAGTCAGATATGTTCAGTAGTTAAATCAAGCTATTGCAAAAACAATAGATCACAGTTTGTCCTACTTAATACTGATTAAACTCATCAACTTTGAAAGCTTACTTACTTACGCCTGTTACTCCCAATGGAGCATAGGCCGCCGACCAGCATTCTCTAACTCACTCTGTCCTGGGCCTTTCTTTCTAGTTCTATTCAATTCTTGTTTATTCCTCTCATATCTGTCTTCATTTCACCTCTTAATGTGTTCTTTGGTCTTCCTCTTTTCTTTTGGCCTTGAGGATTCAATGTGAGGGTTTGCCTTGTGACGCGATTGGGTGCTTTCCTCAATGTGTGTCTTATCCACTTCTAGCGTTTCTTCCCGCTGGAATCTGGTTTATTCTCTGTCATAGTACGTTGTTACTGATGGTGTTTGGCCAACTTTGAAAGCAAATCAATTATATTCTTAGATGGAATTAACATTAATTTAGATCATATTTAATGGTGAAATTTAATGTCATATTCTAAATTCTTACCTTAAATAAACGAAAAACAAATTATAACGATTAAAAGATTTATCATTTTTAAATAGAATAATATGCACTACTTTTTGTAAAACAAAATTCTAGGTCATACAAATAGATCTGTGAGAAAAAAAACCAATAAAAAATTTCACAATCATATCGATTTTTTTTAGATTAACCTATGATATTGTTAAAAGAAATAAAAAATGTAACAAGAAAGACAAAGGTGTACATTTCTACTCATATATATATATAAAGAGATATTGAGTAATTGGTTGATTGGAAGTATCATAAATAAATCTAATAATATTATATATAATATCATCTTGTTAATAGTTGGTTTTAACCAAGTAACTATATGATCTTAATGTAAATCAAAACTTTTCTTTAATTTGAAATACTTCAATATAAACATTGTAATATAATAATGTGTTGTTGTGAATATGATATGATTAAGTACATAATTATTTATTTAATAACAATAATGATGGTGATTTATCTTGTTAGTGGTGAAGATTATTTATTAACAAATGAAGATATAAGTAAATTAACTGAAATAACAACACAAACAACAATTGATCCAATTCTATTAGAATCTTATCGAAAAAATACAATTAAATCATTTATTATATTTGGTGTAATATTTGGTCTTATTAATATTGCTTGTTGGATTGCATCAATCATTAAAGCAATTATGTAAGTTTTGTTCATTGATTAGAATGATTTAAGTATATTAATCAATTTAAAGTAAATAACTATAATACTACTTTGAATTCATTTTGAAATCAATTCTATAACTTAACTTCTTTATAAGTTTTCTGAATAGTTCAAATATTTGATCATTAAAGATAAGTGACAGAAAGATTTAGACTAGTTGTTAAAGTTAATTTATTCTCTTTAGAAAGGTATTCTTGAAAGTTCAAAGATGCTGATACCAATTGATAGGCCTAAAATCCGATCATTTATAAACTTAATCAAAGATGAATACTTGTATGTGAACTGATTTGTATATGAAAATCAGCAATTGTAAAGTGCCCATTGTTATATATTCTGATTATCAGTAATCAATGTCAACCTCTGAGTATCATTAGCTTAAATTGTAAAATATTATGAGTTTCTTAATAATCTTTATTTTTCTTGGTGATCATTCCTTTAATAAATCATATTAAACATCATTTTCATCAGAGCGGAAATATCAAAGTGTTTGACTTCGCACTTATGATATTATCTTACTTAATAAAGTTTACTAAACTGTCTAAAACAAATGCCATAATATTTATCTCTCCTTTGAAATCTAATAATTTGAAGTCACTTTATAGATTATTGAGCATAATAATAAAATCTCTATCATTTAGTTAATATTTCTAATTAATTTTAAAGATGATATGTTTATCATACTGCAGTAAACAAAGTGACTACAAGAATACAACTAAAATAAATCAATATTCAATAAAGTGATCAGTTTTTTGAATCAGCAATTCAGTTAACTTTCGCGTTGTACTTTTTCAATGATTTAATAATTTTTCATATTACCAATTAATTAAGAGGATTTTGTTGATTTACATGAAAACATAGATTTCAGCAATAATTCATTATTCTTGTTATGAGTGTAGGTCATACATTTGTTAACAGCACTGCTGAGGAGTCTTATACTAGTACGAAACGACCATCCAATGATTCCACGTTTTCCATGGTGGTCTAGCTTTAATCGACACATGAATTCAACTAACAAATTACTACAATCTCCACGAAACCTCATTTGGAATGAAACATATTGAAATATTTCAAAGTCAAATCTTAATGATGGCAAACAAATTAGATAGAACACATTGTATGACCACTTTTACTGTTATTTATGTACTACACGTAAATTACCTAATTATATCAAACCTTTTTGTTAAATCAGAGGTTAGTAGCAAATAGATTTACCCGTTAAATATATATACGAGTTTTAGATACTGTCGTTATCTCTTTATTTGCTGACATCATTTAACAAAATCATAATTAATTTCCATACTTCCTCAAGGCCACACGGGGACTAAAAGAAAAAAGTGTGATAGTGACTATAAGTAGCTTAATTCTGACCTATTTTATTTAAATGTCTCATACTCCTAGCATAAATCCGTCATGACAGCAATTATCAATCGATTTATGTTCGACTTAGAATCCTACAAAAACCGAGAGAAATAGCTACTCGGAATAAAAAACAGTATGTATGCAAAGAAAGTGAATTTAACCTCTTCTCTTATCGTGGCCAACCTCAAATCCAACAAGTCAATAATTTATTATGATTATAAAAAGCCCCAATGGGACCAGTGTTCATATACATCTTGCCTTTGTATTCTTTTAAAAGATTTTTCCTATTAAAATATTACTGTTAACAATTTTTAACACATATTTGTATCATTATTATTTTTATGATTCTTTTGAACACAGGCAGAATTTAATTTGTACTCAACCCCACTCCAATCATTATTTCTTAATTCATATCATTTTAAACTTGCCCTAATCGTTGAACGAACATTTGATCCAATTTATGACCACATTACTAATTGTCTTCCTCTGTGGTATCTACATTTATTCCGATTAATAATCTCATAATTACAGTTAACGTACAAACATAATCAAGCTGTCAGTAGTTAGTTTAATGAAGATTGTAGGGTTTTCATAGTCTAAATCATGAAATGATCTTAGCTGGATGACCATTGAAAACCTGGAAGCATGGGACGGCCGTTTCGTCCTAGTATGGGACTCCTCATCAATGCTCAACCACTATCCTTCTACCAGGAATCAAACGCGGGACTTTCAATATAGCACGCAAATTCTTAACCTTTAAAGCACTGAGTCGACATTCAACTTTGTTATTTTTAAGTTCAATCAATCCACGATACTGAGCGACTGTATTCCACTGTCTTTGGTGGGTAACTTCCTCACAACCAACACGACTGTACTCCATTAATTACGGCTTCTCACTGGAACTCTGGAAATTTCCCCTCGAAGTTGGTCCCTAGTGAGTATATGATTATTATCAGTGTAGCGTTTTGTGCAGATTGTAGAATGTTCATAGTTTGAATCAAGTTAACTTTGTATACTAGTAGTTTCAACACTCAAACTTGATTTTATTTCACTAGTAACACTGAACTAATATGCTGTAACGTCTAAAAAAATGATAATCATAAACGTATTTTTTTACTGTAGAACCTAATGAGGATTTAATGAAAGGAATATTCTCCTTTTATACATCTGTGTTTCTACAATAATGAGAACCTTTAAAGAATTTTGAAAGTATTTATTGTACTTTCAAGGTTTTTCTATCCGAACTCACAAACTCCAATAGTTCCCGTCCTAAGCAATAAGCTTCGAATGATCAATAACAATGTGAACAGTTCAGTTTATTTCAGGAATCTTTGATTTTAATATTCCACACTGATATTCGCTGACTTGCTTATGGTATATGGAAACTATAGTCAGCTTTACGTATCTACTTACAAAGTTTATGAGATTCTAAGTACTCTGATGGGGGTTATCATTCAAGTCCTGTTATTATAAATTTCAATATACCAAAAGTAGTCATCATAAAACAATAACCTGGATACTCTGTTATCACACATTATTTCTTATAAACTTCCAGTAGTATTCTATATACAAAGTACATAGTAATCTAAAGTACACATTACTACATAGTTATGTAAATCAATGAGATATGTAGAATGAACACTTTAATTAAAATCTTCTTTAATGAACCTGTGGGAAACTACTTTTAAATAATTACGTTAGAGATAAATACACTTGTTTATGTGAAAAGCTTCCTAATTTAACTAATATAATATTAAACTAACAATGAGAAATGTTCAATTAGATTAAATATTATTAGAAATGAATTGAATTATTATACTTTAATAAATATACCATGAAAGAAATAAAATTCAATTTAGTTAATTAGAATAATTATGAAAACTGTAACTATTTGAATTAGTTTAATTGAGAAAATAATATTCTTCATTATGGAGTGATATCAGCTTTAAAAAAAAATTCATCCTTAAGTAAGAATGAATAGATTTTTTTTATCAAGTTATCTAAGATTTCTATATAGTGTTCATTTACTTGTTATCTGGAATAAGATTAGAATTTTGATATTTATATCTGATGTCAAATATCATAACATTATTATTATGATTAGCTATATTTATTGTTATATTTTTGGTACAATACAGAATTCTCAATAAGTTTTCGTTTCTTATGCCTTGATCGATCCTAACGATAAATATTGAGTGATCACTAGTTAGATGTAAGCGATTTCAAGAATCAATGTATGAATAATGTTCATTTTCTTCAATGGATATTGGTAACAACCACTATGTCTTTGATTGTACTGTTTCGTAAGTTGTACAGAGAAAGGTCGTAAACACTTCATAAATGCCCTTGAATAGGTTATATGATTAGCAAACATCATGATTTGTTAAAACAAACAAAAGTCAAGTAACTTGTTGAAATACCTAGGTGGCAGGAACAAGTAGCCTAGATATTCAAACAGGTCGCCATATCATATTGAACAACTTAACTCAAGTATACTTTAAGTTTAAAAAAAATTGAGAAGTATCATCATTAGTTTTTCTAATCTATTTACAATCAAAATTGTATTTGTAAGATGTGTAACAGCATTATGATACTTTAAGCGTAAAAAACAGTTTTTAGCTTTTCATTTGACCAATGATATATATATATATATATATATATATATGAATCAGACTGCAATGTTAATACTGAGTAGTTCAGTGTTGTTATATAATACGACATGGGATATTGTAGGTAGTTTGTGATTCAAACCTCCCCTCCCCCCCCAACATAACCGTACACTGTTTATGATAAATATATATTGTTATTCCTAAAGTAACAAATGTTGACAAGGTAACAGATTTCTATTAATATGATGAGTAGATATAACCTATAATATATTCAAAGATTTCAATACGTGACTAAAGCAAAAGTTACGTTTATTCTTTGGGAAAATTCATGATAACTTCGTTAATTATATTTCAGTATTTCTTAAGCTTAAAACATCAATTTTATTTTCTAAAAATGTAACTTCAAGAATTCAATGCACCTTTATTTGTTTATTAATTTTTTCTTGTAAAAACAGAGACAGACGAAAAATAAAAAAGAGAAATTTAGCTCGTCAAGATGCAAAACGTTTCAAAAGTGAAAGTCACCGAAAATCAGTTTTAAAAGATTTAATAGATCCTGAACCGCCAAAATTAATTTTGCCAAATATTGTTGATAATGCAGTAAAAAGTCATAAAAATATTTCATCAACAACTTCAAACTCAACAGATTCGCCAATTCATCATTTTTCACGATGTTCAACTTTACGACGTTCTGATTCACTTAAACGATCAACACAAAGTGAAATAGATGAACCAGCAGAAAAAGATTTATTTATTTAATAAATTAATTCGTCTATATTTCAGTAGTGTTCTATGTAGTTTGGGTTCTTTTTTTCTGGTAACATACTTTGTTCCATCATTTTCCTTATCAAATGAATATCCTATAGAACAATTTTAACATATATTACTTATTATTTGCTGCTATGTAACTTATTACTATTTTTACATATTCTCAAGTTATTGAATTACTTTAACCAGTAGTGTATATCAATAAATTTTTAAATTTTACTACCATTTACACGTAACCATGGAAACATTTAAATATATTCAAATAATATGTTTAACAGATAAGTGTTTATATATAAATAAATGCTTAAATATTAGATTACTAATTTTGTTTAGGTAATTTTGCAAATAGACGTTTTGTTTATCTTCAGATGAAAATTGATTTTATATAGTTAACATAAAAGACAGCTGATACTAGCTACTTAAGAGGATAAGTGTACTGATATATGTTGAGAACTGTTAAATTGACCACCAGATTACTAATACTTTAAATAATGAGTAACAATAAGAACTGGTGTGTGCATTTTATACCGTTTAGAAACCCATCAAAAGAACCAACCTTTATTCTTATGTACTTGTTCTTAGTGAAATAAGACGGTAGTACTAACACATCTCTATCGGATGTAATACACCTATTTTGTTGTTGTAGAAATTTAAACATTTTCTTGTCAATAGTCACGATTATCACAATTAGTATCCTTTGGAATATTAATATTGATTTAAAAGTATAAATCTAAACAAACCAGACTGAAGATTAATTAATACTAGGTGATTGTAAGTGGCAGCCATACAACAGCGGATTTACATTTTAGGCTAGTTGACACTCATCAACAGAACGTAATTGAACCTTTAAAGAAACTGACACTTTTGATCACATCTGAACACGCTTAGCTCTGCTTCAAAGCTTAAAGATGATACCAGCTAGCAGTAAACCTCAGTTCAGGGTTTCTTACCAGCTACATTCAACCACGTCACAGAGTGATTGATATGTCGAGTCATTGAAACTAATGGCTGCATTGTAACATGATCGACAGAATCCAATCAGTACTAAAGGACTAGACGAATATTAAATTGGTCACAACTACTCAATGATCAATCAGCAATGAAGCGTACCTAATGTTGGAAGCTGAATGTGTCAGAACAGTTTAAAAGGAAATTTCACATAAACTTCCAATGTTCAAACATTAGGTCTTACATCCATCAGTAACAACAATCATCGTTACTAGGAGCGTCTTTTTATGATGTGAAATCGAGATTGGAAAAATATGACAACTTAATAATACATATAACAATATAAATCTTATATGTAGTATGGTATTTCTGAATAAAATATTGAAAAAATACCATAGAAATAATCAGCCTTCTTTTCATTATAATCATAGACATGCGTACATAAATCCCCTTTTAAATGATACTAAAAATAATGATATAATTATAAAATCCTAATAAACCATGTCTTCATAGAATAAATAAATTATCAAGAACCAACCCAGCTGAGGGGTAAAATACCAAACTTTTGACTGTAAAGGTTGCAGATTTGAGTACTGCAACATTCATTTTGTTAAAATATTATTACTAATCCTAGATTATGAAGTGTGATTCAAAGTTGAGGACACAAATTTATACATACGTAATAGGATTTTATTTTCATTGTTCACCAATAAATATTTCCAGTTAAGTTCGACACTTTATTCTGATAGGGTTTTGTTCTCTGAACTGGATGGTTTAGTCGTAGAGCTTTCATTCAGCTCAGAGAACAAAACTCCAACAAAATCATTCACCTGAGCTACAAATTTTCTTCACCATCTCAACACTTTATTCTATCAAACATGGGACTAAAAGTCACGCAATAAAACATTTTATCATTATAGAAAATAATCACATGAAAATCTAATACTTTATACAACTAATCTTTAGCTTCTTCACTTTTTTTTAAATTAAATCTAGAACTTTAAGAAAGATTATTTAACCTTAGATAATGAAGTAATTAATTAAATTTTTAGTTCACAAATCATTCATTTTGAAAATATCAGTAACTAGTTTGAAGTTCTAATCATTTCTAAACCTGAAATTCTAACCTTGACCTTAATTTTGGAAGAAATCATAATGACTAAATTCTAAAATTAATACCTAATCAACTCCCTTAACTAGCCTAGTTAAGAAAGAATAAGAATGATTCGTATCAATATAAGTAGTTTATAGATATTGTTGGATTTCATGATTTACATCATGAGCTGTTCATAATCAGACCACTATTGTAAACCAGGAAACATTTAATAACTGATTCATCCTGGTATTAGATTCCTTAACACTATCTGTCAACTAAGTATTAAACTCAGAACCTTCAAATTTCTTAATCTAACTTCAATCGATTCGTGATATTGCACGACAATCTCCTATTACCTGTGATGAATAAATGTACCATACTCAATATAGTCGCACTCCATTGGTTATAGCTCGTTATTAGAACATCTGGAATGACCACTCAATATGAATCATCTAAGAGCACATGACTGTTATTGGTGTATTAAGACAAAGCGAATGCCGAATGTTTCCTAAATTCGGTTAATGTAGTAAACCTTAAGAAACAATGAATTCCAGTGGTAACTTTTCAGATAATGAGACAGATAATCAAATGAAATAAAAGCTGTTATAACTTTCCCAAAGTACATTTGCTTTAAGACTTAGCATTTTCTTCTGACACTAATTTTAAACATCACTTTCTATGTACCTTTATATACAAAGCGGAAGTTTTAATGCAAAACATTTTTTGCATATAGTTTCTATTAAACCAAATAATAGGAAAATAGTTAACTAACTATCTAGTTACTATCTAGTCATTCATTGTAAGTAACCGTTCATCATTTAATCAATAATCTTTAGTCAATAATCATTCATTTTTGTTTGACTAATATATATGAATTTTGACATTTGAATTGTAGTCTTTGAATTATTATTCTCTAATCAATAAGCCTTTATAACTTTTCATTGATTTAATAACTTACTATTTGTTATTCTTAATAATTTTTACTTCATTACATTCTCTTTTGTAGAACTAACCTAGAGGATCGATATCGGCTAGCTTTTAATCAATTAATATATCGCTGTATAATATGAAAATGTTACATTTATAAATGATGAATATTTATTGCTTTGAGTTGTATACATTTCTTTTATAGCTGTTAAATTTATTCATCTCTCATTGTGTTTAAATTGTCATTTGTCTTTTCTTTCCTTCTGTTTAAATGTATCTCTTCAACACTTTACTTTCTATATGTCCTCAACTGATCCATTAATCATTGATATTTATACCATAGTCGAATTAACATTTCATCATCATTACAAGTGATATAAGTAACAATAATATGTGTAAATTTCAAGTATTACAGATGGGACATTTTCTGATGTTATTTATTGTTTGCGTTAGATAGTTGGAGGCAATTGGGAAGAAATCCTCAACCTGTCACGAAATCCAATTTTACCGGATACCATTGAATATCTCAACATAGTGCACGCAATAACGGGTCATTCGGACTAATGGTCATATTGTAACTTGGCTGAAAAAAATTCGATCACTGCTAATTATTGGTTAATTAGTTATTAATTCCTATTTATTAATTGGATTCATGAGTCGATGAAAGCCAGTTCACTATTGAAAATCTGGAAGTACTGGACAGCTGTTTCGTCCTAGCACAGGACTCCTCAACAATGCACATCCATGATCCCGCATGCGGGACTCAAACCCACGACCTTTCGTCAAACGCGCGGACGCCTAACTTCTAAACCACTGAGCCGACATTCAATGGTGTTAATGTCTAACTTCACTAGTGACTGGTGTCTTGAGGTAATTCTCGGAGTTCTAGTGAGAAGCCGTGACCAGTGGAATCCAATCCGTGTCCAGTAGAGACAGGTATCTATATCACACAATGGATGAATGGTTACGCAACCATTCGTGAGTCAATTGAATTTAGACATTAACATTGGATGCCAACTCAGTGTTCTAGAGGTTAAGCGTTTGCGTGAGAGACCAAAGGTCCTGGGCTCAAATCTCGAGTGCGGAATCATGCATGTGCCCTGTTGAGGAGTCCCATAATAGAAGGAAATGAAAGTTCAATAATTCCAGCTTTTCCATAGTGGTCTAGATTACATCAATTCATAGATTCAACTATTAAAATCTCTGCAATTTTCACAAACCCCATTCTGATCAAAATTCCTATTTACTTTCAAATACAAACAAACAAAAAATAATCTACCTAACGGTTCAATTAGTTTTTCCCTCATCAGTCATTCATTTAAGGTTTAACTGGAATTTTTCAGACTAATATGAATATTACCTTCTGTTTAAAATGTTATTTTAGTCAAACGATAACTTTTATTATAGGAAAAAGGAATCTTCATATCTGTCAACTGGACAATTATCTGACCCGTAAATTATGTTCCTCCTTACGCCTTGATTAGTACGTTAACCTCATTTGTTATTTATTCTCGAATCCATTTTTGTGATACAATCCTTTCTATCCTTCTATAGATATGTATTTTCCATATAACTATATATACGAATGTACAGCTTAAGTAAATGATTTCGTCGAAAAGAAAATTTTCTTCGCTGAATTCTCTATTTCTTATTCAATGACTCTATGGGTTATTTTATTTATCTGAATAAGGAATCGCAGAAACCACCACTACACATTAAAAACCAAAGAAGGTCTTGTTAATAAATATAGCATATTCATACTACAATAAAAGAATTTCACATTATAATCATCATTATAATCAAATTACCATTGTTTTATTGCAACCCAATTCATCTTATTTAACAATATACAATATAGAAATTTCAAATTTGCAACCGAAAGCTTATCAACAATAGTACAATGCTGGCTTTTCCATTTTGATAATAATCTACATCATAGTCTGACTTTATCTAGACAATTATTGACCAATTAAAAAACCTTTTTTTTAGGAACTATTTTATGAAAGTATGAATACTAACCGACAATATGTTTATTTCTAATCTTTTAATTTATAATTTTCGTCTGATAATAATGAGATGATAAAAAGAGATTAAGTGGTCGCTTTGAAAACAATATTCGAGTGGATGTTAAAATTTGCTTTCAATACAAAATCGAAAAAGTATTACATCATAACAACTTGGAAACCAGATAATTGAAATAACTCATAGAGTCATTGAATAAGAAATAGAGAATTCAGCGAAGAAAATTTTCTTTTCGACGAAATCATTTACTTAAGCTGTACATTCGTATATATAGTTATATGGAAAATACATATCTATAGAAGGATAGAAAGGATTGTATC